AGAACATAGAACATAGAACATAGAACATAGAACATAGAACATAGAACATAGAACATAGAACATAGAACAGTACAGGCCCTTTGGCCCATGATGTTGTGCCGACCTACTATCCTACTAAGATCAATCTCCTGTAGTCTCCTGATTATGTGCCCATTACCAACTGTACACTTTGATATTAAAAAAACCCCTGTCTCTTGTACAGAGCTGAGTTTGTTTAACTAATTAAAACAGAAAGTGCAGGAGAAACTCAGCAAGTCTGGGAGAATCCATGGAAAGAGAAACGGATAGAGTTAATGTTTTAAGTCCAGCCTGACTCTTGTTCAGAGCATTGAACTTGAAACATTAGCTCTGTTTTTCTCGCCACAGATGCTGCCAGACCTCCTGAGATTCTCTAGCACTTTCTGTTTTTATTTCAGATTTCCAGCATCTGCAGTATATTGATTTTATGAGCTTGTTCAACTTCTTATGATAAATTACAGATTGACAGAATGGCAGACGGAGTTTAATTTAGATAAATACAATGTGTTGCATTTTGGTGGGTCATACCATGGAAGGACTGACACAGTCAATGGTAGGCTCCTGGGGAGTGTTAGGACAAAGGCTGAAAGCTCCCTGAAAGTGGAGTCACAGGTAGATAGGGCAGTGAAAGAGGCTTTCGGTATTCTAGCTTTCATTGTCATTGCGTTGAGTATAAGAGTTGGGATGGCTTTTTGCAGCTTTTCCCCATGGTAGGGGAGTCTAAAACTAAACGGCATAGGCTTAAAGCTAGAGAGGCAAGGTACAAAAAGGTCCAGAGGGGCAGGGTTTTTTCACACAGAGGGTGGTGAGAGTCTGGAATGGCCTGCTGGAGGTATTGGTGGAAGTGAATACAGTTTTGTCATTTAAGAAATATTTAGGCAGATACATAGATAGGATAGGTATGGAGGGAATATGGGCCAGATGTAGGCAAATCGGACTAATTTAATGGTGAAGACTGGGCAGCTTAAAGGGCCTGTTTCCATGCTGCAGGCCTCAATGAATCGGTGACTATATGACTCTAACTGCTACAGACAAGCGGCCTTCCCACTTTAAACATGTAACTAACACCAGCTTGAAAGCTGTTACCCTACAGCAGTATCTGACTCCTAATCCATGTCTAAATCACAGAAGATTTTACCAGGACTTAACATGGAAATCACAACTTGCTTGTTCTATGTCTCACCCAAGTGCAGTCACTGACTCTGGGCTTTTTTCCTGGACTTTTCGCTCCTGAATTTACAGCAAATACAAGGAAGGTAAATAGATTCTTACGGCAATTTTGGCTGGCCTGCCATGATGGAATGGAAACCCCTTGTATGGTACATGCCCTTTCATAGCCTGCAATGGCATCGCACAACAGGAGATTGCTTGTCCCATATGCACACAGGTCATACACACACGATGTGTAGTAATTGGTGGGGTCTAGGTACCAGTGACATTCCGAGAAAGGTCCGGTCTCATTGACGATGATTGAGCACAGTGATTCAAACTGGAATCGGCGTGGACAGTCCAGCTCAATGTTGTGATTGTCGTCCTGGCAACTACAGGAAAAACAAGACTTCAATTACAAATAAAATAATGGTCACGTCATTCATCACACCCTCAATCCAAATACATGGAAAATATTGCTGACAGTTCGTGGCATTGTTTGATGGGGGACAGTGTAGAGAGAGCTTTACTCTGTATCTAACCCCGTGCTGTCCCTGTTCTGGGAGTATTTGATGGGGGGACAGTGTAGAGGGAAGTCCACACTGTATCTAACCCTGTGCTGTCCCTGTCCTGGGATTGTTTGATGGGGGACAGTGTAGAGGAGCTTTACTCTGTATCTAACCTTGTGCTGTCCCTGCCCTGGGAGTGTTTGATGGGGGAGAACAGTGTAGAGGCAGCTTTACTCTGTATCTAACCCCTTGCTTTCCCTGTGCTGGGAGTGTTTGATGGGGGAACAGTGTAGAGGAAGCTTTACTCTGTATCTAACCCGGTGCTATCCCTGTCCTGGGAGTGTTTGATGGGGGACAGTGTAGAGGGAGCTTTACTCTGTATCTAACCCCGTGCTGTCCCTGTCCTGGGATTGTATGATGGGGGACAGTGTAGAGGGAGCTTTACTCCGTATTTAACTCCATGCTGTCCCAGTGCTGGGATTGTATGATGGGGTGATTATGTAGGTGGGGATATAATTCAGTTTGGGACATGAGCTAGTCCAGTCTGTGGACAGTAAAGGTCAGTCACTGTTCCTACTTCCCGATTTCCTGAGTGGGGATTATCTGCTCTGGTTTAGTTGAATATCCTGGGAGCAGCCACTGTCCAGGGTTCTGAATGAAGCTCCCTCTAGTGGCCGTTCATCCTATTGGTACAGATGCTGACAATGTGATCTCCTCCACATGGGGGAAATGTAGCGTAGACTGGATGGTCGCTTCGCACGATACCTACATTTTGTTCGCAAAAAATGACCCTGAGCTTCCAGTTCCCTGCCACTTCAACACACCACCTTGATCCCTGGTCAACATCTCTGCCTCAGGCTTGCTGCAGTGTTCCAGCACAGCTCAGCACAAGCTGGAAAAACAGACCATCTTGTTCCTCTTGGGGACTCTACAGCTTCTGAACACAATATTGAGTTTAACAACTTTAGGGCTTGAGCTCTCCCATGTCCTTACCCCAACAAACACACACCAGGCCTTGTTATCACACAGTCTGCTATTACTCACAACCCATTGTTAGCCACTAACAGTCCCCATTAACAGCTATTCACCCTCCCAGCCAGTTATCCACTCCTTTGTCGGCCCAACTTTTATTCTCTCTCTTTGGGCTCTATCCCCACCTATTGTTTACTCTGTACGCCCTCCCCACCCTATCTTCTGCATAAAAACTAACACATTGCCAGCTACAAAAGCTGAAATTGCTGGAAAAGGTCTGCAGGTTTGGCAGCATCTTTGGAGAGAAATCAGAGTTAATGTTTTGGGTCCAGTGATCTTTCCTCAGAACATCTTCCTAGCTACCATCATTTCCGAGGAAGGGTCACTCGACTGGAAATGTTAGCTCTGATTTCTCTCCACAGACGCTGCCAGACCAGCTGAGATTTTTCAACATTTTCTGCTTCTATTGGTACATTCGTGGTCAGCTCAGAGGGTGGGGCACAGTGACCACTTCCCCCTTAAATCCTGCATGGCCCGTGTGTCTAATGGTGTAGGTTGAAAACTCTACCTCAAGTCGTTGTTTTCCGTCTTCCAGGAATTGCCAAACTCCGTGTCACTCCTGGCTGTCTGCCCACTTGGCAGAACCTTGTCATCCATCATGTTCCCGTTGAAATTCCCGCACATCCCACACAGTCTGTTTGCATACTCAGGCCCCACCTTCACCAACACGGTACTCCTCCCGTCGTACTGTACCTCCACATTGGTGACCGTGTCAACTACAATAAAGCCAGCGGACTGCGAGATGCTGGCCAAGCCCAGGATATTGTGGGGTATCGATACGGCTGTGCCATTCACCTGGGAAGGAGAGTGCACGTCCACAGTTAACATAGAACTGTACAGCACGGGAACAGGCCCTTCGGCCCACAATGCTGTGCCGAACATGATACCAAATGAAACTAATCCCTTCTGCCCACCCTTGGTCCATTCCTTGCATATCCATGTGCTTATCTAAAAGCCCCTTAAATGCCCCTATCGTATCTGCCTCCAGCCCCACCCCTGGCAGCATGTTCCACTCTCCTACCATTCTCTGTGTAAAAACCTTGCCCCTCACATCCCCTTTGAACTTGCCCCCTCTCACCTTAAATGCATGCCCCTAGTTTTAGACATTTCAACTCTGGGAAAAAGATTCTGACCGTCAAACCCATCTATGCATCTCATAGTTTTATAGACTTCTATCAGGTCTCTCCTCAGCCTCTGCTGCTCCAGAGAAAGCAACCGAGTTTTTCTAGCCTCTCCTTATAGCTCGTACCCTCTAATCCAGGCAGCATCCTGGTAAACCTCTTCTGCACAATGGGTTTCCCTCACTCTGTAAATAGAATCTACTTGACGAGGCCACCTACCCTCTGTAGCTAAAACCATCTGCTCCTTTGTGACCACTCACTATCTGATGCTGCTGACATACTGGGTAAAGGCCTCACAGAGTGGCCATGTGAATGAAAGGATCATCAAGAAGTGGCAGGAGGTCACTCGGCCTTTGTCTCTGTGTCCGGCCCTTCAGAGGATACCCTGCCAATCAATGGCCCTTGGGCCCTGCAGCCTTCCCTGTATATTCTCTTCAGATGACCATCCAAATAGACGCTAAATTACCTCATTGAGCTTCCCATCCCCTCTGCGTCAGGTAGGGTGTCTCAGATTGCTCTCCCCCCTCAGGTCTCTGAGCAAGGGGGTTATGATTGCATCATTCACCGATTGCTTCCGATCTCTCTGTCTCTCTGCTACTCGATCATTCAGCAAAATGTGAAAATGCTTCACCCTCTACGCTCTGCCCAGGTTTCTCAGGATTTGGATGTGGGGCATCGGGGAAAGCAGGAACAGGCCATCGAGTTGCATGACCACAAGGAACAGGTTCAAAGGGGTGAATAAGTCTGCTCCGACTCCTGCTTTTTGTGAGCATCTCAGTCAACCCTTTCCCTTAACCTCCTCTTCTCCCAGACTGGACTGAGACAAAAAGTCGCGACTGATTACTCCCAACGGCACTGTGGGAACCAGACTTACCAGCACTCCTTGGCCACTCTGGATGGTGATGTGAAGCCCTGGCAGATAGACATATACACGGGACACAAAGGACACCAGGTTGTTCCGCCGGTGTTGGTTCTGGGCCGTTACTCGGAACCAGTTCGCCGAGAAGGGGCTGCAGACCTTGGCCACGTCATAGTTGCAGGTTCCCTGGAAGTGTGTGACTGCACCATCAAAACTGATGTAGTGAGGGTCCCCGGTCACCATGCAGGTTTTGAACAAAGTGAGGCAGCCTCTGGCCCCCCTCCTCAGAGTGCATCGCTCTGTTGCTCGGCAGCCTGCTGGAACACACCGCACCTCGTTCCTGGCCAGGCAGTGGCATCGGGAGCTGCAGTCAGCTGTTAGCCTGCTCTCCCCCATCTGCAAGGAAAGGGCACCATCACAAACACAGTCTCATCAGCCTCCTTACTGAAGGGAGGGAATAAATACACTGGAGCATGTTGGCTGGTTTGGCTCCTGGAATGGAGTGGGTTAGGAAGGGTGGTACACAGACTGGGCTTGTTTCCATCGGGATTAAACAGTCTGGACAAGATGAATGTCAGAAGGATGTCCCTTGGTATGGATCAGTCCAGAATTAGGGAGTACTGTTTAAAAATTAGGGTCACGCAGTTAGGATAGCAGCAACAGGGCTCTGGTGGTGCAGTGGTAGTATCCCTATCTCTGAGCTTGAAAGTCCAGCCTGCTCCAGAGGTATGTAATAAGATCCCTGAACAGGTTGAGGAGAAAAATATCTAGGACAATGATGAGGAGAATGTTTTTGCTGTCTCTCAGAGAGGATTGAGAGGCTGTGGAACTCTCTGCCTCAGGAGGCAGTGGGTAGAGGCATCATTGAGTATTTTTGAGAATAGATTATTGTCGGGCAGGGAATCAAAGGTGGTCAATGTGGGGACATGGAAATGTGGGAAACTCAAATGGATCAATCAGAACCTAAGTGAATGTTGGAATAGGGTCGAGGGGTGGTATGGTCCATTTCCAATAGTGGTGAATGGCTGGGTGACCTCTAAACCACCTTGGCCTTGCACTACCCCATCCTCCAACCCCAACCTCCCCAACACCCCCCCCTCCCAAGCCCCCCCCCTCCCAACCCCGCCCTTCCCAACACCACCCACTCCCAACCCCGCACTCCCAACAACCACCCCACTCCCAACCCCGCCCTCCCCAATACCACCCTCTCTCAACTCCACCCTGTCCAACACCCCCACACTCCCAACTCTGCCCTTCCCAACACCCCCCACCCCCAACCTCACTCTCCCCGACACACCCCACTCCCAACCCTGCCCTCCCCAATACCACCGTCTCCCAACTCCGCCCTCTCCAACGCCCACCCAATCCCAACTCTGCCCTCCCCAACGACCCCCACTCCCAACACTCCCTCCCCAACTGGGACACATCGCATGAACCCACCTTCAAATACACCCCATCATGGATACAGCCACACTGCTCAGACGGGACACAACTGTCCCCACTTCTCAAGTAACCACGGTCACAGAAACATCCCTCAGCACACTCCTGAGCACAGGACGATCCCACAGAAACATCTGCACAGTTCCCATCACATGGGTTTCCGCACACCTCGAAATGACTGTTCTCTGGGCATCGCACACCTGTGGGGAGAAGGAACGGCAGATCGCGTCCTGAAATGGGTAACTCTCAGAGAGAGAGAGAGAGCTCTGCCAACAATGTCTGGGAGCCTACTCCCAGCAACATGCCCTCATCATCTCAACAATACCAGCAAAGAAACGCTGTGGTGTCCTCACAAGAGAGGGTGAGAGACTTGCCTGCACCTCATCCCCTGGAACTACGATGTTGTGGCCATTATGGAGCCTTGGATAACACAGGGGCAGGAATGGTTGTTGGATGTTCCAGGGTACAGATGTTTCAAAAGAAATAGGGAGGGAGGTAAAAGAGGTGGGGGAGAGGCATTGCTAATCAGGGATGGTATCACAGCTGCAGAAAGAGAGGTCGTGGAGAAGGGTTTATCCACTGAGTTAGTACGGGTGGAAGTCAGAAACAGGAAAGGAGCAGTCACTTTATTGGGAGTTTTCTATAGAAACCCTCCAGTAGCAACAGAGACATTGATAAACAGATTGGGAGACAGATTTTTGAAAGGTGCAGAAGTAATAGGGTTGTTGTCTTGGGCGACTTCCCTAATATAGACTGCAAATAGTTTGGATGGGGCAGATTTTGCCAGGTGTGTCCAGGAAGGATTTCTGACTCAATATGTAGATAGGCTGACTAGAGGGGAGGCCATATTGGATTTGGTGCTTGGCAACGAACCAGGTCAGGTGTCAGATCTCTTGGTGGGAGCGCATTTCGGTGATAGTGATCACAACTCCCTGACTTTTACTATAGTCATGGAGAGGGATAGGAGCAGACAGTATGGGAAAGTATTTAATTGGGAAGGGGGAATTACAATGCTATTAGGCAAGAATTATGGAGCACCAATTGGGATCAGATGTTCTCAGGGAAATGCACGATAGAAATGTGGAGATTGTTTAGGGAGCAGTTGCTACAAGTACTGGATAGGTTTGTTCCACTGAGGCAAGGAAAAGATGGTAAGGTGAAGGAACCTTGGATGACAAGACATGTTGAAAACCTAGTCAAGGGGAAGAAGGAACCTTACTTAAGATTGAGGAAGCAAGGATCAGACAGGGCTCTAGAGGTCTACAAGGGAGCCAGGAAGGAACTGAAGAATGGACTTAGGAGAGCTAGAAGAGGGGTAGTATCAAGGAAACCCCATGTCTTTCTATACTTACATGAGGAACAAGAGGATGGCCAGTGTGAGGGTAGGGCCAATCAGAGATATTGGAGGGAACTTGTGTGCGGAGTCAGAGGAGGTAGGGGAGGTCCTTAATGAATACTTTGCTTCAGTATTCACCAGTGAGAGGGACCTTGACTTTTGTGAGGACAGCATGAAACAGGCAGATATGCCTGTTGATGATAGGAAGGAGGATGTGCTCGAAATCTTGAAAAACATAAGGATAGATAAGTCCCCTGGGCCAGACAGGATATACCCAAGGTTACTACGGGAAGCGAGGGAAGAGATTACTGCCCCTTTGGCAATGAACTTTGTGTCCTCACTGTCCACTGGAGTGGTACCAGAAGATTGGAGGGTGGCAAATTTCATTCCCTTGATCAAGAAAGGGAATAGGGATAATCCTGGAAATTACAGAACAGTCAGTCTTACTTCTGTGGTGGGCAAATGATTGGAGAGGATTCTGAGAGATAGTATTTATGATTATTTGGAAAAGCACAGTTTGATTAGAAATAGTCAGCATGGCTTTGTAAGGAGCAGGTCATGCCTAACAAGCCTTATTGAATTCTTTGAGGATGTGACAAAACGCAACGATGAAGGTAGAGCAGTGGATGTGGTGGATATGGATTCTAGCAAGGAATTCGAGAAGGTTCCACATGGTAGGCTCATTCACAAAGTAAGGAGGCATGGGATTCAGGGAAATTTGGTTGTTTGGATACAAAACTGGTTGTCCAATAGAAGACAGAGGGTGGTAGTAGATGGAAAGTATTCAGCCTGGAGCTCGGTGACCAGTGGTGTTCCGCAGGGATCTGTTGTGGGACCTCTGCTCTTTGTGATCTTTATAAATGACTTGGATGAGGAAGTGGAAGGGTGGGTTAGTAAGTTTACTGATGATACAAAGGTTGGTGGAGTTGTGGACAACGTGGAGGACTGTTGAAGGTTCCAACGGGACATTGACAGGATGCAGAGCTGGGCAAAGAAGTGGCAGATGGAACTCAGCCCAGAAAAGTGTGAAGTGATTCATTTTGGAAGGTCGAATTTGAATGCAGAATACAGGGTTAATGGCAGGATTCTTGGCAGTGTGAAGGAACAGAGAGATCTTGGGGTCCATGTCCATAGATCCCTCAAAGTTGCTACCCATGTTGATAGTGTTGTAAAGAAGGTGTATGGTGTGTTGGCTTTCATTGGCAGGGGAATTGAGTTTAAGAGCTGTGAGGTTATGCTGTAGCTGTATAAAACTCTGGTTAGACCACACTTAGAATATTGTGTTCAGTTCTGGTCACCTCATTACAGGAAAAGTGTGGAAGCTTTAGAGAGGGTGCAGAGGAGATTTACCAGGACGCTGCTTAGACTGGAGGGCAGGTGTTATGAGGACAGGTTGAGGGAGCTAGGGCTTTTTTCATTGGAGCGAAGAAGGATGAGAGGTGACTTGATAGAGGTTTACAAGATAATGAGAGGCATAGATGGAGTGGATAGTCAGAGACTTTTTTCCCAGGGCGGGAATGACTATTACGAGGGAGCATAATTTTAAGGTGATTGGAGGAAGGTATAGGGGAGATGTCAGAGGTAGGTTCTTCACACAGAGAGTGGTGGGTGTGTGGAATGCGCTGCCAGCAGTGGTAGTGGAATCTGATACATTAGAGACTTTTAAGCAACTCTTGGATAGGCACATGGAGGATAGTAAAATGTAGGGTATGCAGGGTAGATTGATCTTAGTAGGATAATAGGTCGGCACAACATCGTGGGCCGTAGGGCCTGTACTGTGCTGGACTGTTCTATGTTCTATGTTCTATATGTTCTATGTTCATCGCCTCCAGAGGAGTTAAAGTATAACCTGCAACTGTCTATTCCTGAGCACCCTGTTCTCTACTCAAACTGGCATAGAAAATAGGAGCACGACTAGGCCACTCAGACCCTCAAACCTGCTCCACCATTCAATACAATCAGAGCAGAGACCCGTGTTCCCACTCTCTAGCACCCGCCCCCATACCCTTTCATACCTGTAGCCCTAAGAACTCTGTCGAACTCCTTCTTGAAAATGTTCAATGTTTTGGACTCAACTGTTTTCTGTGGCACAGGATTCCACAGGCTCGCAGCTTTCTGGGTGAAGACATTTCTCCTCATCCCAAACCTACATGGTCAACCCCATATCATTAGACTGTGGGGAGACGATGGCCTGGTGGTATTGCCAGATTATTAATACAAAAATTCCACTAATGTTCTGGGGACAGATATGGTTGACTCTTAAGTGCCCTCTGGGGGGAATTGATGCTGGTCCAGTCAGAGATGCTCGCATCATATGAGTGAATAAAAGGATTCCTGGTTCTGAACTCCTCAGTTATCAGGAACGTTCTTCCTGCATCTATCCTGTCCAGTCCCATCAGTATTGTGCAGGTTTCTAAGACAGCCGATCCCAATTCTTCTAAACTCCAGTGAATATAATTCGAAACGGCCTGGTGTGTCTTCATGTGTCAGTCCTGCTATCCCAGAAATCAGTACAGTAAAAGTCAATTGCACTTCCTCCAACACCAGAACATGCAAACTCTTATAAGGAGATCAAAACTGCAACATAGTCTCACTAAACTCCTTGGACATCGAGAGCAAGATATCCCCTGCTCTTGTAAATGAATCGTCTTCCCA